CTGCAATTGCTCTTCCGAGGATGCCTAAACCCAAGGCCTTGGTACAGGAGATTACGCGGCGATACTGTCTCTTATCACGCACCGCGATCACAGTGGAAAAAAAAAAAAAAAGAGAGACAGACGATGAAGCGCCACCCATTGTGCGGTTTGAGATGGAATCGTCCACCTGTGAATACTGCCCTGCCGGTGAATTATGAGTCTTTTTAAGATCATTTTTCATGATGTAAATTTGGTTCCCGGTAAAAAAATGTACTGACAATGGTGAAGACAGAAAACTGTGTTGCTTTTTGCCCTCCTGTCATCATATTCAGCAGTGGGGAGCCACTTTGCATTGCATCCTGACGCCATCCATCCATCCAAATCACGAATTTCGGTTTGGTGCTTTCCATACCTGACCGGTTTATTCTTCGCATCCGGGTCTCGGGCAGTGACGACGCCAACGAGCGCTCCCACTCTGGTGTCCTCCTGCACCTCCATGACGGTGCCATCGGCAGGTTGAAAGAGCGGGGGCTCGTCCACGTCCGACACGCTGACGCGGACGATGGTCTGGTCCCGGAAGGAGCCCAGGTCCACGAAGCGAGGGTCCGCGTGCTTATTCACAGCCTCCACCACGACATTGTGTGTGCGCTTGCTCTCAAAGTCCAATGGCTGGGGAAGGAAAAGAGGAATAAAAAACAAAAAAACAAAACAAGTGTGGTTTGTCTCACTTCTGGCTGTCAGACACCCTCATTAAGAAGTTATTGAGCCAAAACACTGGCAACCTAATTCACCCTGCTGTCACTTTTATTAAACAAAAACAGCAACAAAGAAGTCAGATAATTGTGCACATTCCCCACAAAGGATATTGGATCACGCCTCGACAGAGCGAAAACAACATCATCAACATTTTCTGTGCAAAAAAAAAAAAAAAAAAAAAAAACGAAATGCATTTGGTGTCAAGATGTGAAACGTGACAATGGAACTTTCTAAAGTCAAACAACCTCAACACCTCCTGCCCCCTCCACCATTTACATACGCCTCAAATTCGCCAAGCAAAATCATCCAAGGGTTGAGCACATGCAAAATGGCCAGTGTGAAAAATTCACCTATTTTCTGCTTTTGCGCCTTCTCTGCGCCAAAGAAACGCGTTGAAGCGAGTTGGGGAGCATCATTTAAACTACCAAACCATTTTGTGGTTTCCAATTGGCACGCACCTTCTTGATGGAGACGACAGCCTCTTGGGTCATGGCGTCGGTGGTCACCTTGAAGAGCTCGCCTCCCTCCTGGATCAGGTAGCTCATGTCCGTGTTCTCCCCCATGTCCGCGTCCGTGGCGATGACCCGTCCCACCGGCGTGCCGATGGCGGCGCCTTCTGACACCATGAACTGGTACATCTCTAGCGGATGGGACAAAAGGAGGAACGTATTACGAGCAGACAGAATAAATGTCATGTGACAAATTTCATAAAAGCAAACAAAAACAAAAGTGTTCGTAAGAGGGGAATCATGAGAAACACTGAATTCCTTTAGCGGCATTCGACTTCCATTCCCCCCCCCCCCTTTTTTTTTGTTTTTTTTTTTATTACGATGGACTAAATTCCGAGTCTATGAGAGCAGCGAAATCATTACTCTTGCGAGGTTGATCCCTCCGACTGCGCAAACACAATTTAGCAAGATGTAGAGGTTATGAATACAGAAATAAGAAAAGACGTATGAGGCATATCAAGTTCAATTTGGGCCAGAATGATTCTGCTCCTCGAGCTGTAAAAGAAGTAGAAAATCTAAAAAGAAAAAAAAAAAAAGAAAAGAATCAGTTGCGTGTTCGCAGTCGCAGTTTCCTGTTACATGTCACGGTTGACTTCTGGCGTACAAAAAAACTGGTCCCTTTTTTGTTCAGGGACTACATCGTGACCCACATTGGAGCTGCGCCATCCGCTATCGGGTTGATGAGCTACTTTGAGGAGCATTTGTTTCGGGCTGAAGGGACATTTTCATGTGACTGCAGAAGCTAAATTAAAATAAAGCAGACTACAGCGGCCACCTCATTGACAAAACTCGTCAAGAGAACGCTCTGCTATTTCATTTCTTCGGCCAGTACTCAACCTTTGCGATCACAAATCAATGACATTCGAACATAAAATCCATCAAGTTCGCATTTCTTCTTTCTAAGGTAAATGTCCACTTTTGGAGACTTGAAAATGCAGTCGGACTGGGATCCCAAAGTCATGATACTCATTTTCAATCAGAGATGCAAGCAAACCCTTTGAGATGATTTTGTTGCACTGATTATGAATCTGACCTCAATTTTTTTTCCTCACACATCAGGTTTTCATCATAGTATTGAAATATATTTTCTAATATTTAGGAATTAAGGGTTAGTTTGAGCAGCATTTTTTTTTCCCCTGGAATGTCTTTGCTAGAAATGACAAGCTTTGAGGTCAAACATAAAAACAAAAAAAAAAAAGGAAAATATTTCAAAAACCTGATGTGCAAGGAAAAAAAAGTCAAGACATTTTTTAAATCAGCATCAAAAATATGTTTCGGGATGCCGAAAGCTATCTCTGATGAATATTTGCTGTTGACCAATGTGAGTGATTTCCACTTCTGAGACAACTTCAGTTCAGTTGGAACGTAGTGATCTTCTTCAGACCCGCTTGTCCAAGCCGGAAAACTTGCAATCGCAATGCAGATTGGTTGCTCCATAATATGACTCTCATTCATTAAAAGGAAAACAAAACAAAAAACGTTTTCCGGTGACGGCGGTCAAAAACATTGTGCATATGAACCTTGTCATTTATTCCAATACTTCAAATTTTCACAGTGAGATTATTTTGGACTTCAGTGTCTTTTTTTTCTTCAAACTCAGTCAGCAGGGGAATGTATCGGACACTCACTCTGCGGGAAGCGTGGCGGGTTGTCATTAACGTCTGTGATCACTATGGTCACTGTGGTGGAGCCGGAGAGACCGCCCATTTGCCCCGCCATGTCGGTCGCCTTGACGACCAGCTCGTAACGATCCTGGGTCTCGCGGTCCAGATCTGCCACGGCTGTCATTATGATCCCTAATGACAGCGGATGGGCGGTGTGAAGAAAAAAAAAAACAGAAAGGAAAGAAAAAGAAATAGGGGGAAAGTTAGAGACAATGGAAAGCTACAATTTAGCAAAAAAAAAAAAAAAAAATACTCTGATAACCTCTGCAAACATCAACGTCAGGCAAGCAAGCACATTGCCCTTCTTTGGAAGAAAGGAGACCTTCTCTTCTCTGGCCCTGCAGCATGAGTGTCCAGCTGCTTTACTTTGCACTAGTAATCTAATTCCTGTCCTCGCCGGGGGGATTATCCACATCAGAATCTATTGATGCATTTGCCCGCTTTCGTGTGCTGTCTCGCTCCCCGAGGACCACTGCGCTGTGTTGGGAATAGGACTCAATGATTCAAGTCACAGTTAGCCCTTGACCGCGTCCTATGAGCAGCCAACATGCAGTACATGCAGCCATGCAGTTAAGGAGATGACATGCGCCCACAACACCCCCCCCCCCTCCTCTCTATCCCACCAATTCATCAAATGCCAGAGGGGATGCCTCGAAATCCAGACGGAATCGAAGTTGAAGCCCTGATCAACATAATGTTGGAGAGGCTTCATGTAGATCAGGCTTTTATTCATGGAAGCAGTCAGTTTAGCGTGTGTGATCCACATCCCAATGCGTGCTGCGCCGCTGAAATATTCTCCCAATTTTACCGGTTGTGACCGCGCACACCAACTGTGAAATAAAGCCCCAGTATGCATAATATTAATTTGATATAGAAGACACAGAAGACATTGTAATCATTTTTTTTTTTTTTTTTTTTTTTGGTCGTTCCCTTTTCCGCTCAGTAGACAAAGGAAATGTGAGTCTGATTGCGGCTTTGAAAACCACCTATCCGACATTTTCGGCTTGCATACGTTTAAAGTACGATGGAAGCAAGAGGTGTCCAACATGCGGCTCACGAGACATTTGAGGTTCTTTGGCTGCCCCGGTGTGGCTCGCGGATCATCGAGTCAATCAACTACGGCGGCATAAGAGTATGTCCTCGTAAGAAGGCGCACACTCTTTTCAACTCATGGCGGAAAAGTGTTTTGTTTTGATTTTTTTCCATAAAAATACTGACTACTAGCTGATGGGACATTCAGATTTCTGCTTACGTCAATGCCGTTGAAATGCAACTCTGTCTTAAAACAAGGACATGCAGATGTCTGTCCTGGCAAATGTCCATACAGTCAGGAAAGGACATTTATTTCCAATCTGTGCTTCTCATTTTTTTTCTAAATGCAATACCCATGGGGGGTGCGGTGGAGGCGGGCGTCTAAGATGGGACCGTCTCCACAGTAACCGTTGCCACTTCACAGCGCGTCTGTAAGGCGTGAGCTGCCAAGCTCCCGTGATGCTTTGCAATGGCTTGTTAAAGGCTCCGGGGCAAGAAATCAATGATATTCAACTTGTTTGCTCAAATGAATGAAAGTCATTGAGTGAAACTTTCTAGGGTGGCTTGTTTGGCTCAATTGCTTTTATGTTTTGAAGCCACAAAAAGTGATTGGTTGAGGGAATTGCGGCCTCTCATCGTGAGATGGTTTCAGGTAAAGTAAGAAAAAAAAAATACACGGGGTCATTACTTACCTGTGTGCCTGCCCACGGTGAAGAACTTTTCTCCATCAGGCACGCTGTAGACCACTCTGGCACTGCTGCCGTAAGACGGGTCATCGGCGTCTGACGCTGTGATCTTGAGAACAGAGGTGCCTGTCGACACGAATCAACCATTTCAAGTTTCGCCTTGGACAGAATGTTTGCTCAAAGGTTATGAATAGACTCTGCGTGTTAATGTGATTTTTATAAGGCCCAGAAGAAGCCTGTTTCGTCATCACTATGCAGAAACATTTGCCGATGATTAAAATGATCGTTTGCCGCGATGATGCGCCCAATTGTCTTGGCTCTCTCATTAGCACACGCGCAGCTCTTCGGAATGAAAGAGAACATAAAGTCAATATTATCATCAGCATAAAGTCAAGATGCACCAGAAGGTCTCAGCATAACCATTAAAGACGATTACTGGCACTTAGACGACGACTGACGACATCCAAACAGCCACGCGGCTCTGGAAGCATTTTGCAAGTCCAGCTTGTCCCATCAGGAGTCGCCACGCAAATCACTCATGTCATTTGGGGAACTGGCAGCAGCATGTTACTGTTATACTACCGGTGCTTAAAAAAAAAAAAAAAATTAACAGTGAGATCATTTCAAGTCATTGACATGCCGTCACGTCAAATCGATGAGTCACGTTTCGCGAAAGCTCAGCCTGAGGGCCCACAACAATTCAAGGCTCTTCAACAGAGATTGAGAAACAATCGCGCTTAATAATGCACGTTGTCGTTTTGTGAATAAATCCCCCCAAACACGACGATAAGGCTTCTCAAGGACAAACGAGTCGGCCATTGTCTCTGTCACTGCGGGTAATTACTGACAGCTGGTGGTGTCCACCAAAGGTCACCGCTGTAGCCTTTCTCGGAGCACTGTCACGCCACAGTTCAGCCGCTGAATGACTTTATGCTAATGGTGCTAATTAGCACCGAGTGTCAGAGCGCTGTTCACTTCCTGTCATCGTCTCGAGCTCCGAGGGGGAACTTGATCGTCGTGGTGGTGGTGGTGGTTGGAAGGATCCAGAGCAGCTGTCACCAATTGCATCTCTTTTACTCTTTTACAATGGGTACTTAACTTACGAGTCCAATTCGTTGCAAACAAGCTCGTAACGCAAGTCAATCGTGCATCCAAGTAATTTTGCCCCATTGAAATGAATTGAAATATCATTAATCCGTTCCGTTATTGTTTATAATAAGGGGAAAAAAGCACAGAATTGTAAAATATAAAGATAAAAACAGAATAAAATGAGAAATTAATTTTCTCTCTCTCTCTCTCTCTCTCTCTCTCTCTCTCTACTTGCAAGTGCTTTCATGATTGTGGTTGTCTGCTTTGATCAACAGCTGAAAGTACACCGTCGACTGTCGATACGCACACAAAAGTTTTGCAATTTAGCTTTGCATGTCTCTCTTGTATGCCAGCTCCTCAATGAGGCTTATCTGGGTGAACTCCCAAGTGGGAGTTTTTTCAAAGTAGAAGCTCTGGAATTTGTTGAAAATGCTTGCTTCTCAGCAAATTGGATGACTTCATGCTCAACTTCATGGATCATTGAGATTTTTTTACATTTCTTGCTATGAAAGACCCATTGAGTGAAACTGTTGTCATGGGCTAATTGTTCGGAACTTTTCTTATTATGATATATTTTGGAGGAGGTCGTATTTGAAACCGTTGAAATCTTTTTTTTTCAGCTTGATGCTCACTCTTGCAAAAAAAAACTGTATTCACTCGCGTTGAGGCCCACACTTAAAAAGCTCCATAAAACATTATGATAGGCAGATCCCAATAAGAATAGTTTTGCAGGGCTTCCCATCAGATCGACTGCAAGTTTTTCCCGATGCATTTCCGTGACAAATAAGCCAGAAGGTAAATTGTGCTTTGTTTCCGTTATCGCCTGACATTTTCCCAGTTAGCTCAAATCCCTGCACGTTAACCACAATGGAAGGAGATAAAGATAGACTGAATCCCAGTCAAGGCAAGTAAGTGAGATACCTGTCTTATCGTAGGGAATACATTAGACTGGAGAGAGCCTTATTTATTTATTTATTTGAGGGGGAGGGGGGGGGAAGGTACAGACAGGGGGTTTGTTAATTCTGCCCACCTGCTTGGCCCAACTGCAGTGAGTCCAATAAAAGCATTTCCATCCCCTGGATTAGTCTCTTATCTTAATTTTCCCCAGGTAACAATGCTGGTCCGGGCTACTGGCTGCGTGCGCTGTCAGATGGCTTGGAAGAACTATATAAATGCAAATGATTCTTTATTGCGTTTATATTAAAACACAGAAGTCAGCCAGCAGGTTTGGGACTCGAGTTCTGATTGAAGTTGGACGTTTTACATATTTGGAGTGTCATGCTCGGTAGATTCTATTGCTGACATGGAGGGAATCCAATCATTTTATGCACTCTTCTCGAGTCAGCGTGTAATGCAGATAGCTGTACACGATATTTACTGATTGCAGCTCATGGTTTTAGTCATCTTTTATTTTTTTTCTCCGTTGGATTCTGCGTGTTGGTTAGTATTAGCTTTTCCAACTAATTTGGACGATATTTACTGATTGCAGCTCATGGTTTTAGTCATATTTTATTTTTTCTCCGTTGGATTCTACGTGTTGGTTAGTATTAGCTTTTCAAACTAATTTGGTGATAAGAAGCCACTCATGTAAGTACACATCGACCAAAAAAGTCCCATTCAGATTTCAAATAAAATAAACATCTCCCTTCAAGCTTCTCAAGGCTAGCCTCCTTCACTCTGAACTAAGCCTTTGCAGATGGCAGCATTTGGGGATTTTTTTTAGAAAAATCCTACACCCCGGAAAGTAAAAACTGTTGTTCGAACTGCCTATTTGTGTTTTTCTGGTCACAAAAACGGACCCACCAAGAATTAAATTGCTCCATTGAAACATTAAAATAATGATATTAACACACAATACCACCCAGTTATACTGTACTGATATAACAAGGGATTAAGCCTCTTCTTGCACAGTACTGTTTTTACGATGAGTGGCAGCTTTCTCTGTATCTGACCAAATTCTTGAAACCACCGCCAATACTTGAGTTGCATTATTTCAGTTACAGTTCAAGTGCATCTTTCAAAGGGGACGGCGAAAGATTAAAAGAAAGCAATATTTCCAAGAAAAATCTCCTGGTCGCTACACTGAATTCGGATCTGTTTCATTTGACACCATAAGGCACTACGAAAATAAAAATCAGGCAAATAGAAGAGTTGTTCCTGGGGAGGGTGTGTGACTTGACATGGAATGACCCAGTAAGGACATTTTTGTGCTTTGTTAGTTCCTAGCAAGCACTTGGTTTTACGCCCGACTCGGCTGTAGCGGTAACAACAGCGCAGGCCATCAGCGGCGGCTCCACCGCACCTTTCCATCTCTGCGAGAGCGATGGTTCAATTAGCAGAGGGAGCCCGCTGCGAAAGCGTGCGAGACGCGGGACTGACAGCCATTTAAGAGGTGGCCTCGTAAAAGAGATTTGTGCTCGCCTTAGTCTGTCGCCGCACCGGCGAGGGGGTCTAACGGCCTCTGCGACGAGCCGCTCGCCGCCGTGCCGAGCGCGGGACTACTGACTGCTCCCCGCCTTGCATTATGGATCATTTAGTCAAGTCGTAAAAACTGAGGTGTTTTCACATGAAAAGTTATTTCATCACCACTGCCGCCGTGATTCATTCCTCCCCCGTCCACGCCTCGAGAGAGAGCGAGACAGGATGAGGAATAAAGGAAGGGAAAAAAGCTGGCGTGTCATAAAAGCCAATGGGTTGCTTACATTGATCCTTTTTGAGATCTCGACGAGGATTTAGGGAGATGTTTCACCCCTCCTGACGGAGGTTGTAAATCCCATTTTGGTTAGCCTTTGAACTCATGATTTATAAAAGATCATATCAGTGTATTATAGTCTGTTTGGCTGACAGTATTTTGCAGTACTGAGATCAATCCAGTGTCTGGTGTAATAGGAAACACCTTGTCAAAGTAGCAAATCAAACATATTTGTCATTTTTACACAATTTAAATACCCTAACATCCCATGTATAATATGCATCAGTGTATAATACGGCCCCGTAAAAAAGGTTGGGTTTTTTTTTCCTCTCTATCCGTGGATAATAAGAGTACCCTGATTTGTTGGTATCCATTATTATCATCCGGTCTCATTTGTGCAAGTGTATGATTTTAATGCTCCCACAACACAGTTTCCCTATACACCATAAAACATGACGGTTCAAAGCAGCCCTCTCTTTCACTGTTCAGTCTGTAGAAACAGATAAGTGATGGTGTAATGAACTGTTTTGCATTTTATTGTTGAGTGCTGCTGCTGAGGTGTTGGAATGAGCACGCCAAGCTAACTAGTGCAACATAGGAGCTTGTTTTTTTTCCCAAGAATCTTTATTGAACAAGTCAAATTACAAATCACAGAAAATTAAGCAAATAAGCTATTAATATATACATACATAGGAGCTCGTAAATGCACCATTTGTTTGCAAAGTGGCGTCACAACCACAGTTGTGTTTTCGGAGGCTAAAAAAAAAAAATTGAGTAAGTCTGTTGGTTAAAAAGTGATCAGCGGGGACGGTGATTGTGTCAGGCTGTCAGCATCTCGTGTGCACTCAGTGTGCAGAGTCATTTACCTCGAATTAACTGCCTTTGAAAAGTAATCCAACAGCTCTTGCAAATGATGCTAGCCGCTAACTTGGCCGCCGCTGAACGCTGGCAACAGGCGCGGTAGAATGCAGTAACAGTGAATTTAAGTCTTTTTTTTTTAATTAGCACCCTTAATCAGCGATTGAACGTTATTTCAGGACGCTGTTGTGTCAATAAAGTCAGTATCACGTTGCAACAGTTTCTGATGGCAACGCTGCATAATGAGCCAATTAGCCGTTACGCAGCAACGCCCTGCCGGCAGCAACTTCAAAATAAACTTTAGTCTATGCATTGATGTCTGCATAGTACTTGGTGAATAGCATGAACTATTGTTCCTGCTGTGCCTAGTTACTGTCTAGACACTGGTAAATGTCTAAAACAAGTGAGAAATGTTTGTGTTATACAGTAATCCCTCGTTTATCGCGGTTAATGGGGACTAAAACCACCCGCGATCAACGAAAATCCGCAAAGTAGCGACCAATTAACATAAACAGGTAAAAAAAAAAAAAAAAAAAAAAAAACGGTCTGCGAGAAGCTGCAAAACAACAGCGAGTCACATAGAGCAA